GTGGTTATGAGTATTATCAACATAAGACCAAAATTTTCCAGTTCATGAAATTCCATAAAAGATTTCAGGTTTATTTAGTGGCCTATATGCTTCAGGGAGAGGCAACAAAAGCAAGTTTCAGTACATCAAACCAGCCTTGCTGAAGCCTGCAAAGTCAGAACAAAATGAAATTCACATTTGAAGAGAAAAACACCAGTCCTGGATAGAGGCAACCTGGAGTGATAAATAACACTTATTGTGTAGCTCTTGATTTGCAGGGGAAAGGCTGGAACCCCTAGTTTCTAAACATTTTGCTAAGCTTAGTTATCGCCACTTCTTCATTTGTCTGAATTTCTGAGTGGCAGCACAGAGATAGTAGCGATAAGTACAATCTGGAATAAAGACAAAAGATCCCCTCATATTTAGAGATGCCGTATGATGGGTTCATAATGTATTTATTTAATCTACATCTGACACTCTATCACATATAGTTTCAGGGTGGCTAATATGTCATAAAATAACTCAAACAGAATAAATGTACCACAATAAAAGCAGTATGAAGTTATCTATGAAAAAGGGGTCAGATAAAAATGGGAGAAAGAAAAGGAAGAGAAAGGTGGCAAAGAAGTAAAGCCAAACCATCCCAAGTAAAGTGCTCTGGGCAAACAGACATATTTTCACCTAAATATATTTCACTTAAAACTCATAAGTAATTGGTTCCAGGGGAATATCCATCCAATAGTTGGGCATCATAATTTCCAACACTTGCCTCACTCCAATAGATAGACTCCCCAAAGGGGGGAAAAACTCAAATTACTGTAAGGGCCAGACGGATTTGTACAGAAGAAGGTGACCCTAAGTGTACTCTGACCTCAAGCTACCACTTGACATTCATTCACAAAAAAAATACCAATAGCTGAGGAAGCTCAGAATAATATTCCTGTTCTAGAGTGGCTGACATAGCTGTGATATTGACAAGTCTCTCTTACCCTTCAGCAGTCTAGCATTTCACTTCAATATCAACAACTCAGTTGCTTATTGGTATATAACATGCATGTTACATTATCAAGACTTATCTGACACTCTAAATGTATTCCTCACACAGTCTCCATTTATATCTCAATTGTCTGCCTGGAAGTGAGCTATGTGTAACTCTAAAGCTTGTAGTACTACCAGAAAAGCTGGTTCGACAAAAAATGTAAAATGTGCAACTGTGTTCTTTCCACTTGGCTTTTAAGAAAGGAAATGCAATGGTTTGGCTGTTGCATTATACAGAATAATATGACGTAGTAATCGTAAAGAAGAAATGAGCAGACAAATTTATAACAACAGGGATCTAAAAAGTGCCATCATCTTTATGCATAGCCACATTATTAGACAAAGTATTTCAGCCTGATGTCAATCCCAAGGAAGATTCTGGAACAAATTATGAAACGGTCACTATGCAAGTACCTAGAAAAAAATGCAGTAGTAACTAGAAGCCAACATGGATTTGTCAAGAACAAATCCTGCCAGAGTAATCTGATCTCATTTTTTGACCAGGTAACCTTCCTGATAGACAGAGCGAACGTCGTAGACATATTATATCTTGACTTTAGCAAAGCTTTTGACAAAGTGCCTATGATGTCCTGATTAGCAAGCTAAATTGATGTGGGCTGGATAGATCAAGTGCCAGGTGGATAGCCAACTGGCTACAGAATTGTACTCAGAGGGTGATAATTAATTACTCTTTCGCCAATTGGGAGGAGGTAACAAGTGAGGTACCCCAAAGCTCAGGCCTGGGTCCGGTGCTCTTTAACATTTTTATTAATGACTTGGATGAGGGTGTGCAGGGAATGCTTGTCAGATTTGTGGATGACACTAAATTGGGAATAGCTAATACCATGAAAAACAGAAACAAAATTCAAAATGATCTTGATAGGCTGGAGCACTAGGCTGAAAACAAGCCAACTGGCTACAGAATTGTACTCAGAGGGTGATAATTAATTACTCTTTCGCCAATTGGGAGGAGGTAACAAGTGAGGTACCCCAAAGCTCAGGCCTGGGTCCGGTGCTCTTTAACATTTTTATTAATGACTTGGATGAGGGTGTGCAGGGAATGCTTGTCAGATTTGTGGATGACACTAAATTGGGAATAGCTAATACCATGAAAAACAGAAACAAAATTCAAAATGATCTTGATAGGCTGCAGCACTGGGAGAATTCAACAGGTAGAAGTGCAAAGTATTGCACCTTGGAAAAAGATGCACAGTTGCAAAATGGGGGATACCTGGCTCAGCAATACTACAAGCGAGAAGGATCTTGGAATTGTCATAGATCACAAGCTGAATATGAGTCAACTGTGTGATGCGGCTACAAAAAAGGCAAATGCTATTTTAGGCTCCATTAACAGAATTATAGGTTCCAAATCCCACGAGGTGCAAGTTCCCCTCTATTCAACACTAGTTAGGCCTCACTTTGAGTACTGTGTCCATTTCTAGACACCACACTTCAAGAAGGATGCTGACAAATTGGAACAAATTCAGAGGAGGGCAACAAGTATGATCAGTGGGCTGGAAACCAAGCCTTATGCTTGAAACCTTCAAATGCTTGAAACCCTGTCATACAGAGGAGGAGCAGGACCTGTTCTCAATAATCCCAGAGTGCAGCACATGCAACAATGGACTCAAGTTAGAGGAAGCCAGATTTCAGTTGAATATCAGGAAAAACTTTTTAACTGTTAGAGTGGTAAGACTGAGTGGAACCAGTCCTGTCTCGTTAGAAAAGAGCTGTACATTTTCAGATGTAAGCCCATTCTTACCCATATCACATACTACACACAAATACCTAGCTTGGTTCACAAGACTGCTCTGGTGCATCTTCAATTTCTGATAACAGTTACTCATATGCCTGAAGAAATTAATCACATTCCACGAAAGATAACATTAAAATATAGCAGTTAGTCTTTAAAGTGCTACAATGTTGGGCGTTTTTGTTGTTCTTTGCTTTTTGTTTTGTGTTTCTTACTGAGAAGAACTCCTAGATAGCTTAGTGGTTTAGGTATCTGGCTGCAGAGCAGGAGACTGGGAGTTCAGTTCCCCAGTGGGCTTCCTTGACAAGGGCTAGACTCGATTATCCATAGGGTCACTTCCAGCTCTGCAGTTTCAAGACTATTATTAGCAAATGCTTGTACAGACTAACATGGTTACAGCTCTGAAAGCTACAACTATAAGAAGTACCAGATTTAGCCAAATAGGGTGGAGATCCATCAACCTCATGAAGAGACTTGCACAGGTACAAATAGACATCATCTGTTAGATCTGCTTTGATTGGGATTCCTGCATTGAGAAGGGGGTTGGCTTCAATGGCCTTCAATTCCATTATTCTGCAAATCTGTGATCTTCCTGACTAAATGTAAACAACAAAACTATACCCCCAAGGATTTACAGTAAAAAAAAACTTTGACGTCCCACATACCCCACTATGGTAAAATATTATGCAACACTCTCTCCAAGAAACTACTGAACTATCTAGCCATCAACCTATAACATAAGCAAAAGAAAACCCAGGATATTGCAGATCTTGAACCATGCGTATAGAACCAGCCCTCTTCATTGAATATGCACAAAAATTCTCCACCACAAAAAAAAATATATATATACGGTGCACAACTTACTTCCCTGAAGAAAACATTCTATCTAATCTACTACTGTACAGAAATGGTTGACCCACAACAGGAACATGGACTCTCACAATAACATCATAAACCTATCCAGCCACAGACTGAGCTAAGCAGAAGAGTCAGTCCTCTCAAGGGAACTGTCCTTTTGTCCCACCAAACCTACACAGATGATACAACTAGAGGCCTTTTTCCACACACTGAAACCCAAAGAATATTTCTACAATCGTGACACAATCAGGATGACAACACAAAACCTGTGCCTCACTCTCCAAACATGAAGAGGAAATGTCCCAACAACATGAGGAAGAACTATATACCAACTATATACTGTACCATCTTCCTCTCAGCACCACAGAAAGAAGAACTCCAGAGGGCCAGAACAAAGAATTGGACTTCTATACTGAGTGCTTTTTGCCACTGTACCTGGGCTGCGATCATCAACAAGGGACAATTCTTTAATCTTTACTGTTTCTTTTATTTCGTCCTATACATCCAAAAGGGGATGGATGAGGCCACATGTACCAACTCAAAAAAGTTCTTCTGTCCTTGAAGAATAACTGTGTAGGTGGCAGATAAATTAATCAAAGCTAGGAGAGGTGGGATGGAAGAGCAGGTACAGCTCTATGATACTTCTGGACAAAGCATGTGCATAGGGTTCAAAAAAGCAAGGATACAAATATGGGCAAGCAGATGTCATTAGTACATGTTAAGCTAGTGGACTGAGTGTGCTCAAACTGATGTCAAGGAGTTTCGACCCCCTGACAATATATGGCATCTCATATGTTTACCTATCTCATATGATTACCCTATAATCTAAGGATAAAAAGTAAGGAAGAAGAAGACAGTACAAACAACACTGTGATCACTGCTATAATTTTTAACAAAAGGACAATTTGCAAATTAAATCCGAGATTTGCAAAACTGCATTTCCCACTCCCCCGCCCATCTCAATATTATTAATCAACAAAAAGGGCACAGTACAAGGAGGATGTGACGGTATACCAATCAAGAGTTAAGGAGCTTGCAGGACTAAAAGAACTATTCTCAGCCCCAAGATGGGAATATGGCTTTTTTAGATGTAGGCAGTCAAGAACTTGGAGTATTTCTCGACCTTAATCATACAAATTAAGGACCTGTCTCCTGGGCCTATCCATACAGTCAAAAAACATAGAAAAGCTGGAATGCAACTTCCCATGCCCGCTTAGCTATTATTCATTTGTTGTTATGTTAACGACTCCTTCAGAATACACAGATTGTGTTCTTTCATAATTACATATTCAACTCAGATTTCATACATCCTATTGTATTTCTGAGTATTTGGGGGCTATAAGAAGGAAGAGGTCAATCAGTGGGTACTAACCTTCCTTTTGGCTAATCGTTCCATTCCAGAAGAACCAATGGGCTGCGACTCACTGCAGGAAAGAGCCCTCCTGATCACTGCCTCACCATAGGAAACAGCCTTCCTGATCACCTGTCCCATCCTTACCCGGTCCAAGTACCCTTCCCCACACACTTCTGGTAACTTTTTGCTTCCCCCCTTCCCTCCCTAACCGCTTCTCTCCTCGGCAGTGGATGGATGCTCCTACCAGTCCTCCACAGGGTGTGTGTGTGTGTGACTGTGTGTGCCCTGAGCAAACAAGTAACCCTGTTACTGTGTGGCAATCGGGCACACAGGTCACTGACTTCCGGCCTCCCCCAAAGATGCCCTTTGTGAGGTGGCTTCCTCTCTTCTGCTCTGTTTTTATGCACACCCTGAACGCACAAAGCCCAACAGGGGCGCACACACAAATCCCTTCCATAATCTCTCCAGCAAAAACGCCCATTTTTTTCCCCTCTTGCCTCAGGCCTGGTCTGGGAAGAAACTCTCCCCCTTTCTTTCCCAAGGTGGCAGCTTCAAGTATGCCTGGTGTGTGTGTATGTATGTGTGTGTGTGTATATGTATATGTATGTGTGTGTGTATTTATTTATTTATCTTATATGAACACTATGATGACCCAAATGTTCAGACATCTGGCAGAAGAAGAACCAAGATTTAGAAGAAGGGGTATGACAGCCAATCAGAAAGATTCCCAAGTTCTATTGATAAGAACAAAGAGCCAATAGGACAGACTTTATGCACACACTTGTGTTTATAAATATGAAATATGAAGTGAGTATGGAAAAGATGAAACCGATATCCTCCAGTTCCTAAAGTATAAGAACAGCCTAAATATTACTGTTTCTTGTTCATTCAAGAGAGAGAAAAAAGATCCCTCTTACCACTTAGTTTTTGAACAAACAGAATGGATCCTGACATTAACCACAAAGTTATTCTTAATGTTCCTTCCACTCAAAATGAAAAATAGACATGGACGACTTGCCA